GAGTGGAGCTCGGGAACAGCAAGCCCGAGAAAACCAGGCAGGCTTTAGACCTGGCCGTGGATGTATCGACCAAATATTCACACTGCGCCAGGTCCTGGAACATAGGCATGCTTACAGACGCCCGACAATAGCTGTATTTCTCGACCTGAAGGCGGCATTTGACTCCGTTGATCGAGAAGTCTTATGGCAGTGTCTGTCACTGAAAGGCGTGCCTAGTAAGTACATCACCTTATTGAAAGCTCTCTACTCGAACACTTGTGGGCATGTTAGAGCCTATGGTGAGTTGTCCAGGGAGCTATACTCATCAAGTGGTGTCCGTCAAGGATGCCCACTATCCCCATTCTTATTTAATTTTATCATAGATATTCTTATGGAGGTTTCCCTCTCGTCACCTAATTACAAAGACGTTGACCGGATCACAGGTGAATTTTCCTTAGATCTAGAATATGCAGATGACATAGTCCTGTTAGGTGAAGACGCTGACAAGATGCAGAGTCTTCTGAACACTTTGAGTGGGAATTTGAGAATGTTTGGGATGCGATTTTCACCACCCAAATGCAAATTTTTGCTCCAGGACTGGTCTTCAGCGGTACCGCGGTTAACAATAGAGAGTGAAGTGGTTGAGTGTGTTGACCACTTCACTTACCTGGGAAGTAGGATCAACCCGGTGGGTTAGTTGCCGATGAGATTTCTGCACGGATACAAAAGGCTCGATTGGCTTTTGCCAATTTGCGCCACCTATGGCGCCGCCGTGATATTCGTTTGTCTATTAAGGGTCGCGTGTACTGCACAGCAGTCCGCTCTGTTCTACTGTATGGCTGTGAAACATGGCCATTGAAAGTGGAAGACATGAGAAGGTTACAGGTATTTGACCACCGTTGCCTTCGTAGTATAGGACGTATTCCGTGGTGTCACCATGTGAGTAATGCAGAAGTTAGGTGTAGAGTTTTAGGGAGAAGAGGTAAGTCAGTCGACGAGGTTGTGAACCTTCATCGACTGAGATGGTTGGGACACGTACTACGTATGCCTAGTCACCGATTGCCTCGTCACACAATGTTGGCTGAGGTGGGTTCAGGCTGGAAAAAGGCCCGAGGTGGCCAGACTAAAACATGGCACCAATGTATGAAGTCTCTGACTGTTGGTTTAAGCCATGTAGGACGATGCAGACTAGGTGGTTGGGGTCCACGGGACAAGAGGAACCAGTGGTTGGAGACCCTAGGTGATATGGCTCAGAACCGAAGTCAGTGGCGCAGATGTATACACACATTATCCTCATCTTAACAACGCTATACCGAATCTCACTATTTTGTCACTCCTCTTTCCTTTCTTCTCGTACTTTATATTTCTTTTGACTGCATTCACTTATCTTCATCCTTCACCTCACTACCTTTTACTTGATGTGCTGATATGAGGTGTGGCAACTCGGACCGTTACGCAGTAATGCCTGGTCCTATGTTGATAATGATGATGATGTATTTTACCTATTCTTCTCTATTGTTCCCCTTTGATCTTTCCTGGTTTACTAGGAAAGGACTATGTTATATTGCGTAGGGTTTTGAGAGCAGTCAGTAGGGTGAGCGCCGTGCCTCTGGATCAACTGATTAACACTGTAGTTGGTAGACATTTACATTCTAGCAAGCAACTAGCTACAGTAATTTTAACTGACACTGAGTATCAACTTCATTCACGCCTCTCTCCTTATATCTCCTCAGGGAGGACACGAAGAAACTACATAAGAATATATGCTCGTACAGCTAAATATAGGAATTCAACTGTACCTTACCTAGCACGCATACTATGTGAAGAAAAAGGTGCTAGAAGAGAGCTCACTTATTAACTTTGTAGCAATAAATAACCAGTCTTTTAACTAACAAAGTAGTCTGCCTTATTAATATTCTCTACATCAATTAAATTGTTACATTTACACTGTTTGAAATGTAAAGGAGATATACATATTTTCGTTGCATATATATATTTCTGCTGCTATCTGCCAAGGATGCTCAGTATCTCCATTCTCAATCAGCTTTATCATAGATGTCCCTGCGGAGGTCTCAGTCTCGTCTCATGACTTCACAGGGATCTTATCACAGGAGAAACTTTAGTATATCTAGAGCGCTCAGATGACAGTGCTGTTACGTGAAGTTAACTGGACACCCTGAGTAGCATAGTCAGCTATGATTCCTTCTGACTGGTCTCAATCATCGACTGTCCCAGTTTTCAAGAAAGGCGAAAAATCCTCTTGTGATAACTACAGGGAAATTTGGTGTAGTTGTGGCTTATTGGTTGAGGCATATGACTCTCAATCTATGGGTCATCGGTTCGAACATCACTTCACCTACCGAGGTGCGGACAAGGTAGTATCACCAGCCCTTACACTAGGTAAGGCTCACTGCCTAATGCACGAGCGTGCGTAAGGTAGTTGTGTGGATTTCGGTTCGATTTTGACAGGAGAATTGGGGTTCGAAAAACATAGTAGCAAAGATCCACTACTGTTACACGTGTAAGTGGAGCTTTGGAACAGCAAACCAGAAAAAAATCAAGTTCAAGGCCGATTTTAAGCGTGTCGAATAAAGATTCACTCTCTACAATGTTTTGCAGAAAGGGTACATTTGCTGGCACCAGCTGCATTTCTCGAAATGAAAGCAGCATTCGATTCCACCGACCGAGCAGTCTTATATCAGTGTTTCCCACTGTAATGATTACCGAATAAATACATCACTGTTGAATTCTCTGCACTGAAACACCCGTAGGAGTGTCAGAGCCAATGTTGAGTCACTAGGAGAATAGTGTACATTGAGTGGCGACCGTCAAGGTTGTATACCGACCGTCACCTGAATTAACAGAGAACTACTTTGTCAACAAAGACTTCTTAGAAGTCCCAAGAGCCGAAGATGACCCAGACTAGATGTAGTCTTCTAAACACACTGAGTGGAATTTCGCGAATGTTCGGGATATCTTTCTCGCCAACAATATAAATTGTCGCTCTAAGATAGGTTTTCAGTGGTACCTTGCTTAACAGCAGAAAGTGAGATGGTTGAGTAACTCGAACTCATAGTGAACTCTGCAATCTCTACTGGCTCAGTGATCTGACGAAACCTCTACATCGAAATGGAAGGTTCACCTGGCCCTCAACGTGTGCCATTAATATGACCGCCGATATAACTCACAGCCTCACTAAAGGCAAGCGCAGTGAGCTCTCTTCTAATATATGACTTTGAAACATGGCCATTAGAGGGAGAGGACATGAGAAGGCTTCACGTGCTCAACCATCGCAGCGAAATCCTAGGGCTGAAATATCAGACAGCAGTAACGCAGACGTGGAGTTTTATGCAGAAAAGAAAGTGAGGTTGTGCTTAGGATACTAAAAAGGGTTGGTACGTTAGTTGATGAGGTTGTGAACGTGGCCGGACTCAGATGACTAAGACATGCATTACGCATGCCGAGTCAATATCTGTCAGGTGTGGCAATCTTGGCAGAAGTAGATTCAGATGGGAGAATGGTTAGAAGTGGCCAGAATAAAACATGACATCAGTTGATGAAATATTTAACTGTTGGTGTGAGATGCGTACGGAAACGTAGACTTCTTTGTTGGAGTTGATGTACCAACAGAAATAGGTAGTTGGAGACTTGATGAAATGACTCTGAACCGATCCAATGGCGCAGATGCATCCACAAATTATCACCTTAATCGTCATACCGAATTTCAGTATTGTCGCATTCCTCACTGTACTTCTTTCAAAACTTTCTATCACTTCTGACTACATTTTTCTTTAATTGTTTATCTTTCACCTTAGCGAGTTTTGCTTGATGTGCTGATATGGGGTGTGGCAACTCGGAGCGTTACGCAGTAATGCTCGGTTTATGCTGACTGAAGGACAGACGGATTACACCCGTCAAACTGGAACTAACCGTAAATGGTCGGTAGCTTCTCTACTCAGTAGTTCTCTCCTTCCTGAAGACTTCAGGTTGCAAACCATCAGGTCCTGGTGTTTTGCATCGTTTCAAGTCTAAATTAAACTCTCCTCATATCGGTGAGGATTTGAAGACTGAGATCTACGTCCTACTCGAGTTTGGACCGGATGCTGGACAAATGGAGCGTAGATAAATGCCACAGACTGTTCCACTGTGTTCTAGCTGGCAAAACCCTAGAATTTCGAGCCATAAATGACTGCTGTGCTACCGAGACGGTTACGCCCTGTTTTGCAGCTGAGATATAACCATAGAAAGTAGGAGATATGATGCGACTACAGGTTTTTGACACTAGGTGTCTTCACAGCATTGCTCCCGTTTGATAGAATCATTATGTTAGCAATGTCGAGGTCAGGTAAATGGTACTAGGCAAGGAAGTTAAGTCGGTCGATGAGGTTGTGAACCTTTAGCGGGTGGGTGAGGTGGCTTAGATATGTGTCTCTTATGCTGAGCCACCAACTACCTCGACATGCAATGCTAGGGGACGTCAGAGTAGATCGGAAGAGAGCTCAGAGTGGTCAGACAAAGACATCGCCCCGTTGCATAGAGTCTCAATGTGGGTCTGAGCCGGGTAGAGAGGTATTGACTACTTATCTGGGGTCCTTTAAATAATAGGAATCAGTGGTTGGAGATGGTAGGTGAGATAGCTCAAAACTGGTCAGAATGGCACAGGTGTATTTACTATTTAATGTCTTCTAAAGCTTGAGTATTTTCACTAACCTTTATTCACAAATTTTTCCTCCTCCCATATACTTTAGTCTATCTTAGTATCAGTCGTATTTACTTGTTCGGTTAATGCTACTGTGAAGTGTGGTAACTTGAAACTATGCACTTGTGTGGCTTTCAAAGCATTTCTAGAGAATATCATCAGCAGTAACTACTCTGATATGAAGTAGGCTATGAGGATTTTTCTGTGAGTTATTGGATAGTCTATCCTCAATAAGTGGCGTGGGTTTGGCAGTTTCCTTGTGTTTAGAAACCATACAAATTATTAGATATTGGTCCATAAGATTCTCAAAAGAATTAGTGGTCACACTCGTGTTTGAATTCTAGCACTTTCATGACAGCTGAACTGTACTTCATAGAATGCTTATCGGATGTTGTAAATCAATCAATGTTTACAAACCATTGGCAAAAAAAATAAACTCATTATGAGTTTCAGTTTGAAAAGCGTGTAGATGATAAGGGAAAATGTCTCTTGAGCTAATTCTTAGATCATAACTGTAATACGTGCACCTAGAATCCAGATGAACTCTTCAACACGTAGATAATCCAGATAAACATAAGACGGGGGAACGAAGTTGTACGCTGCGATATGGAGATGGGATCCATAATTCAAAGTTATTTCATTTATAAACTTTATATTACAACATAGTTGGTATCGTATGTACCTCAATACTCTACGCTTATGCTTCTCTTTCAGAAATGAGAAGGACTTGGTTATAAAAAAAATATACACAAAAAATGTAAACACTCGGTTGAATATTTTAAATCAAGATTTCGACCAGGTGTCATTTCATCCATGCACAGACGCATTATAATCTTAACAGGTTTAGATGGATCAGCAAACTGATATCCTTTGGACCAATCATAACCTGAAGCATAACAGAACACCTGACCTTTAGGATCAATTACACAACAAGTGAGTGGTTGGTCTTGGGAATCAGCAGAATGAAGTTTCGTCCTAGCATCTTTATCCCAAAATGAATAGTATCCATCAGATCCCACTGTGGCAAGTGTGCCGTGGACAGGATGAAAAGCCATATCATTTACCTGTGAAGAGATGAAAAACGTAGAGAATTATCATTACTGAATAAAAAGAGTAGGAAATATTCTTATAGATATTGTGACAAGAAATGAATATCACTTGATGAAACAGGTACTTATGAAACTGTGTATGACTCTAAAGGCCATTCTAGCAGCGATCGAAATAACCAATTAGGTTTCTCCGTGCCGACTGGAAAGACAAATTTTCATAAAACAAGGAAGTTGAATTGGTCATTTCAGTTGTTGCTTTTAAAATCATTCGCTGAAGTGAGTCAAAAGATTAAATAAATAACCTTTACTGAGATTCTTGTTCATATCTTAGAGTTCAGATCGCAGGTTGTAAAAGTACCACAGCAAATAATTTGGAAATACACATTAAAACAAGAATCTCACTCCAAATTATTTTACAATAACTGAAAACGAGTCAGCAGCTGAATTTTGTAGCTCGGTTGGGACATTAACCTAGAAGCCAATGGTTCGAATGGCGCCCATGAACCAAGTTTTCACTTCACCATCAATCATTACCCAGCACAAATGAGATAACTGAGACTTAACTTTTAAGAAAACCCGCTCAAAAGAAAAGTAACGGATTTGTATGTTCATAAGTTTATTGAAATTATTCAAGCTCTATGTGGTTAAATAACTAGAATTTGGAATTCTAATTCAAACAAATGTGATTACTAATATGTACACACCTTGACATCATCGTGTTGACAGTAGAAACACTAACATCACCAACATATCAAAATATTCAAACACAACCCACGTACAAAATGATCAAGAAGGAGTCACGAAAACCCTTACTGAAGATTGGAGTGTACAAATCCTCAGAAGAAAATATGATGTAAAACATGTTAGGGAAAATTACTTTACAGAAATCATCATTGCTATGAGTACATTCTACCACTGGACCAAAACAGACTTGAAACTTGTTAAGACATCTCCAGTTCCCTTGACGTGTACAATGGGAAATTGGAGTGCACAGCTGCTTTCGATACACTGTGGTGTATCTCACAGGTTATTATTTTCAAATTTTTTCACTTGGACTGTGCAGAAAAATCGACGCCCCTCATCATCATTTGTCCTTTTGGTTCCTAGGGGAGCACAGGGCTTCAGTAGTACATCGCCATTTCACTCTCTACACTGCAGTCTTTCGAACCTGGCTCCACGTCTGCCCACAAGCTTTCATTTATTCCTCACATGATCTCTTCCATCTCACCCTCGGCTCAGAACCCCCCAACTCGTCGTTTCCCATGCGGGTTCCACTCGACAGTCTGGCTCGTGATGTCCCCAATTGTTCTTCTCAATGTATTCCCAATCCATCTCTACTTCCTTCTACATATTCGGTGGGCAATGATTTCTTGGTTGCTTCGTTGTCCGGTCACAGTTCCTTGTTGCATATTATTTATTCTGGCTTTCTGATCTTTAGTACTCAGCGAGCACAGGCAGCTGTTTATGCATATCTGTAGTTTATTGGAGATGCTTTTTGTAACGCGCAAAGTCTCTCAACCATCGCATAGAAGCACTGACTCGACTGGTATTAGTGTTGAAAATCCGGATGTTGTTCGTGCTTCATGCTGAGTGCAGTACATCTTCACAGTGATCTCAGATTGATGAAAGCCTGTCTTGCTTTTCCAATCCTGGCTCTGACATCCCCACTTGTGCCACCTGTATTTGAAACGATACCGCCTAGATAGATGAAGGAGACTGCTTCCTTTAGGTTTCTCCCGTTGATGCTGATTGGTACTTAATGATGTTGTTGTTATTGGTTGGGTATCTTCATCACCTCTGTCTTCTCTACGTTCATCTGAAGGAAGTCCCGTTTTCCTTCGCTGCCTTGCCTCTTCTACCAACTTGTTGGTTTTCGCCTGTAGATCTTCGAGCTTGTGCGACATTAGACATAAATCATCGGCGAAATCCAAATCTTCTAAGATCTTTTCATCCTTTAAACAGCGTATGCCCATCTTCTCGCTCCTCACAGTTTGTTGCATGATCCAGTTCAGTCCAGTCGACCACAATCAGAAAGATCATCAGTGATAGTGGGCGGCCACCTTATCTTACTCATGTCTTCACTCCAAAGTCATCACTGAGCTTCCCATTATGAATCACTCAATATGTAGCATCCTCATATAGCATATAGCTGTTGAATGAGGTTAATAGAAGTTTGTGGCACTCCGTAGTGCTGAAGCAGCTGCGAAATTACTTCTCGATCGACACAGAAAAATCGACTATCCTAAGAAGTGTTAATTCTTATTTCGCAAAAGATATAAGTCACTAAATAGTGCCAAAAACATTAAGGCAATTTCATCTGAAGTTTTTCAGAATTCTTACAAGAGTGAAAACTTCAGCGAAGAAATTTGTTTTCAACGATGTCGTTCTTTGCAGGTGTAAATTGCATTGAAGTATAATAAGTATGGTTTCAAGTTGATTCGCCATGGACTGACATCAGTTGATATGTCGGTGTATTGAAGTTAGCGTTGATGATGTTGTCTAGACAAATAATGAAAGCTTCGCGATCAAACCACCTAACTCATCGGAGAACACAACACAATCATGATCATCCATCTGAGCTTCAAATATCGACATTTATCAATCACTAATTGTAAGTAGTTTGTGACGATGAAAACTAAATAGGAATGGGAATCACGTAAAAAAATATGAAAATATTTGATGACAATGTGAGTTGAAGTTAAAAGGTGAAGAATGTGTAACAAGGTGAATAGACAGTTATCAGTGAGCACGGAAAAGTGAAAGTTGTAACTGAGCTAAAGAAAAATCGTTTACGCAATAAAATATAAAAATTAAAAGAATATTTAGACAATAGTTAGGAAATCGCCTTTTGATGGTTTCTAAAAGTTGAGATAACCATTTTACAATTGAAGATTGACGTAAAGGCAAGTCAGGTCTATGGGTTTCGGGTACTCAGTAGCAATAAGGAATATTTGATCTTTCATCTAGCTCCGAGCTGATGATTGATTCATTTTTCATTCTTTTCAAAATTCCAGTCAGTTGAAGTTCAGTTGTCGCCATTCTAGTCCTTTCACGTACGTGTTGACTTGGAAAACCTGCTTTCGTCTAAAAGAAGTCTAGATGTTTTCTTAATATAGTCTTTTCTTTATCATTTTGACTATCTGAGATAGCCATAGTTTGGTAGACTAGTATTGATACCGGGTGATGACTGAAGGTGAACGAGAATTTGGACCACGGCTGGATTCGAACCAGCGACCACCACGTCTCCGGGCCCGGTGCTCTACTAACTCTTGGTGATTGAAGTGAAATAACAATCCGGTCAACCGCCGAACCTTGTAGCTCATTCGGTAGAGCCCTGGGTCGGAAACCCTGTGGTCGCTGATTCGAATCCAGCCGCGGTCCACATTTTTATTTCACCTTCAATCATCATTCAGTATAAATAATCTTTTCTGTCCACTAGGACGATATCAGCACCTTCATCAAGACGAGTTATTCTGATTCCATCACTAAGTTTGAACTCTTCCTGTTGGTTGATATGATCTTTAGTCAAATGACTAAACTGTTCTGGATGAGTATTCGAGAAGTGGCGAGAACAATCAAGTAACATCGATTTAGTGCTTCAGATGTTCGACAGATGAAGCAGATAATCTATGACAAAAAGATTCATAAGCTTGACCTGAGTGTGAAATTTGTGTGGTTTCGATTTACAGGCATATTTAGGCCCAAGTGATAACTTGGAGTTGAATTGGTGAAACGCTTGCAGAAGAGTAATCGGAGAAGTATACCTCGGGTGATGTTGGGAAAATATATGGGACGTTGGCTGGCTTGAGACTCTTCGTAAGATGATTCTTGACGTTTTTACACCTGTAGTCAATAACTGGATTCACATAACTCTGGGATTTCTGTCGCTTATCTTTTGAGATCATATCCATTGTACGAAAAATGCTAATAGTCTTTGAAAAAGGCATGAGTTTCAAAACTTCCTATCTGTAAACTTACGGTCGTATGGACATTCTAGGCAGAATGATTAGTCTCGCATAGAGGTTTTGCAATGGTGGAGTCCTAACTGATGACCCTTCTAATTTCTAGCTCAAGTTAACTGGTGAATTTATTTTCGTGGGAATCAACTGCAGAAGTTAATGAAATAAGCTGAAATTGCTTATCTCTGAATTGGCTTTTCACCAAGGTTTCATGAAGCCTTCGACTCATCCTGAAAGATAACTACACGAAAGTGACCTGTGGCAATTTATGTAGTGGTAAAAAGTTGGACATAATGAAGACGCATAACGCTCACTTCATACATGGCTTATTGCCCTGTACATAAACATGCATCGAGTTGAGTTGCACAAAAACATTAGGTAGGCAAACCCAATTAGACAGTCATAACTAAGGGAATAGACAGAAAAATCAACGTGGAACCATGCACAAGAATGCGTCATTTCAACTCACTACATTTCACAACAGCAAACAGAGAAAAAATTTGTAGAAAGAGGTTTTCGAGTAGATATAACAATATATGACAGGAGAGAAGGTACACTGACAAATGTTATTAGCTTGATTAAAATCTTCAAGATGATGAAGTGTATTATACTGGTCCATTTTAAGTCAGATTATCCCCAAGAGTTCTTAAGGTTGATTCCTATTACTTCGAAGAAGACCCCAGGGAAATGAACATCCCACATACGCCCATCATTGATTAGGAACTTAAATTGTGTCAAAAAGTCCAGTTGATGAGATGGATACAGCACTCGGTTTCATTGTAGACAGACAGACAAGCTATAAAACATTTGCAGTTAAGGACAATGAACTGGGGTAGGAATTCAGAAACTATTGAAACACTGCAGCGACCCAGATAACCAGTTTCACATGATCATCATCATCAAAGTACTGATCTGAACAAGCTTCTCTAACTGATAATACATAATCAAAATACCGTATTAGTAACAACCAACAGTGAGTCAGATAGTAGGTAGGCCATCAATCACTTTATCTATTAATGTTATTGGTCACAAGTAGTACCCAGTCTGTTATACACA